TATATATATATATATATATATATAGAAGAGGGAGTGAGACAGAGGAGATCAGTGAGGGAGAAAAGTTGATATCGGGAGTTAACTTTCAATTTTGCTCGCCTCTTATAGTTTGCAGCCCGGGTTGCTTACGTTTGCTTTAATCCCAGTCTTTGTTGAATGACAGTTACTATTCTCCTGTTTGGGTTGAGGGTTAGCCTGTGCCTTTTTTTTCTTTTTTTCTTTTTTTTGCGTGCAAGTCCAGTACTCACTGGCTCACTCTCACTCAAAGAGATGTTGGTCTGAATGTGGCACGCCTCAATAGAAAATTTAAAAAGAAATATTCCCCATTCAAGCGGATCCACGGCCAAGCATTTGGTTTTGTTTGGTTAAGGCCAGGCGAGACTGGAACTCTCCAATAAAAATAAATCTCAAATTAATTATGGCCTAGAGCGAGGGGCCAGACAGTTCGTGCTTATATGTGCTGCAGACTCCACTTTTTGCCCTCAGTATTTTGACTCGAGCTGTCTTTTAGCCCCAGAGAAGGAATGATCTGAATACAAGTCTGCATTCTAATAAGCAGCAACCCCAACAGACTCGCATGGACCGGGACTATTTCATTTCTTCGCTGAAATAACACTCTGAGAACAGTTGTGTTTCTCACAACACTCAGTGGCCCGCTTTACGTATTTCCCACTTCAAGAATAGCCAAATGGGGTTTCCAGGTGCACACCATTGGGCAAAGAGTAGCGAACTCGTGTTTAAAAATTGTTAAAGAATAATCTTCATATATGTATATATATATATAATGGAGTGATATATATTTATCACTCCTTTCACAGACTGTTTGTCTTCGCTCCATAACCATATTACTCAATTGAACTCATTAACTAACTGTAAATCAGATTTACATAAGACAAATCTCAGCAGATCCTTCTATAAGCTAAAGAAAAAGGATGGGCCTAACAATTGAAAAGCTGCAGAACATAAACTCACCATAGTGTCCGCCCACCTCTGGCTCGTTGCCCCAGCGGAGAGACAGAGGAGCTACTGGCTCGTGGTGTAAGAAGAAATGTCTGGCTGTCTAGTTCCAGCGTCAAGCCAGATGTTCTGTGGTTCGCTGTGTAAACCAACTTGCATTTGTTTATTGGCCTTCCAAAATGTTTGTTACCACAGTATTCATTATGATCTATGTAGATTCTGCCACCACCAACCCCCCAGTCTTCTTGATAAATCAGAGTGGCAGGTAGGTTATGGCCTTGAATCAGAAGGACATGTTGTTAACTTCCAAAATCACATATTTTCTTTTCTTTAAGCAGGAGGGGGGGGGGTTGGATCATTTGATAATGTCCTGGAAATTTGCAGCTCTGTTTCCAAAGATATTTCGTTTATTTATGTTACCTAAACTGATTTTGGCACCACAGCGGGATGAGTGTATTTTTATTAATGGAAAGTGACATAAATCCAAAGATGCACATCACACACTGGTGGGATGGAGTGTTTGAAGAGATCTGTTTCTTTATTGCTGATCATAAAACCTTATAGTAAGTCACTTGCTCAAGGTCGCAGCTTAAGTACTTCTTTAATTTCCCCCCTTTATCACCAGTCTCCCAACAACAAAAAATTGAAAACCTTAGACTTTGGAATGTATAAGAATAACAAAAAACAACCCAAGCCAGTCACTGAAGAGTTAAACAAGGTGTCTCCCTTAATTACACGAGTCTGAACTGGCCTCAGGCAGGAGAAGCCTTGACCCTTAGCAGGATCCAGATGTGGTGGTCCCAAGGGTGGGGGCCCACAGCTTCACCAGACCCCCAAGCCGAGAGCAGACAGGCCGGCCCTGCTGCCAGTCTTCGCTGGCAGCAGCTCCCAGCTTCTTTTTTGTGCACACTGAGGCCGATCCTCAAAGCGAAACCACCCCTCAAAATCACAAGAATATTCATAATCATTATTATCTTAATTACACTGTAACCAGGTGCATTCAGTTTAGCAAAGAAAGTCTCTCATTTTATTTTATTTTGTACTCAGACTCCTGCAATTGCGCAACCTTGGTTAAGGTGAACATTTTAAAGGCTTCTAAAGTTAGTTACCCGTTTTGTTGGCTGTAAATGTGTCCCGTCTTTCAGAATTACCAAATGTAGTGTTATTAGTCTGGTCATATTCAGACCTGGTTACTCGTCTAGCATGTGCCTGAAATTGGGTCTAAATTGATGAGGAGGAATTTCGTGGGGTAAAAGAAGAGGAAATATATGTGGGGGTGGGGATCTGGGGTTTCTTTTTTAGACTTAAGCAAACATGGAGTAAAACAGAAAGTTTGACGTTTAAAAAGCTATGATTAAAATGACAAAAACGGAAATATATCGAATAATAATAATAATCCTTTTTAGTGGGCTTATGTTGATGCATTCTGAGCTTCATCCTTTTAGCCCTGTGCTGAACAGCAGACGCACACGTGTAGCCCAGACCCTTAGATTATAGTGCGGTTGGAGCTAAATGCTTGGATTTTATTAATGGTGTCTCAGGGAAAAAAGAAATCCACAAAAGGCTTCATAGAAAAAAAAAAGAGTTTACAACAATTCCTGTCAGAGGTGTTCAGGTTGCTCTCCTTATTTGATTTAGAGCTACATCGAACCTAGTCAGATGTTTCCAACATCTGTCTAGGTTCAAAGACAATGTTTATTTAATGTATCACTTTAACTATGTATATAATAAACACTATTTTATTTTTTATTTTTTTTAAAGAGAGAATAGGCTGATTTATAGAGAATCGGAGGTAGTGGCCAGATGTAAGTCTGAAGTGTAGGCGTTAACCAAAAGCGCTCTAAAACATGCAGTCGCATAACTTAGATTGTCCGGCGACAGTAAAACCTCTTTCCACAAAATCTCAGTCAAATATGAGCAGGAATAATTCATAAGCCGGAGAAATAGTAAACCATTCCACACCATCTGTGGCATTACTGGGAAAGCAAAACACACAACACAATTTTACTGCAGGCTACACAGCAATGGCTGTGCACAACGCAAGCAGCCATCCTGTAAATATTTCCGACCAGAAAAACATAACAGCGGAGCGAACACTCAATTGTTTTCCCTGCTTATCTCTCTGGGACAGTATCCTGCTTTTTTGAAGGCAGGGCTTTCGGTGACACACAGCTTCCTTCTCAACCTTCTCAACAGTGGTGACTTCACTTCCCAAATTTAGAGGAAAGAAAAAACGCAATCCGGTAAAAGTGTCTCTTTCTCTCCGCCACATACCGGGGACTGGAATTAATTCAGGAGCGTGTCATGTTTGGGGTATCGTCCGGGTCCGCTGAAAATTGCGCAAAATGGACGGAACTATTAAGGTAAGGGTGGAGAACGGGGTGTATGAGTTTGTGGGAGACTGCTTTTTTTCGAAGTTGCGCCTCCTTTTTTTTAAGCAATGGTTTGAAATACTCCTCTGTGTCGTCTGTGAGCTGGGATCTCCAGTCAGGCAAAGATGAGCGGCTTTTTTCTGTCGGTCTGAAAGCGGGTAACCCGATTTCCTTCTTCTTTCTTTGAAAGTATCCTTCTCGCTTTTTGTATATACATATATTTAAATATATATTATCTGACTGGTTGCGAGGGCACTGCTGTGGTGTGGATTCGAGGCTAAATCAGAGATCACCCTTTGGATTTGGGGGACCGAGCGCATAATTACGCGCGTCTGGAAAGGCACAAAGGAGCGATGAATTGTTTCATACAAACCCATGTAGACTGTACTTTCCTGTAGTCATAAGTAATACTTGTGTTCAGCGATTTGGTTTAGTCTGGGCAGCGGGGGCTGAGCAATAGCCATGACTGGATGTACCGCTGGATAGATGTGTCGAGCTGCGCAACAGTGGTGTGGCACATCGCCCGGCTCGGTACGAAGATCTCGTCTAGGTTAAAAACTCTGACGGCTTAGAATTTACCACAAAAGAAGAAGAATCACATTCCTCCCTGTATTTCTGTTGGTTGTTGTTTCTGTTATCCCCTCCGCTGCCGGACAGGGAGATTTGTGAAAGTGTAAGGAAGGCTGTCATACGGTTACTTCACACAGTAACTGCACGGTTTGCGACACTTTAAACCGCAAACCTTCACAACGATACCTTGGCTTGCTCCTCCTGCAGTTACACAACTATTTTGAAATGGTGCTGCTGCTGGTTGAGCGCTGGTCTACATTAACACTGGCTACCGGCCCCCCCAACAGTCAAATTCCAGATGCATTATGGCTGAAGCCACCAGATGTTGAATGACAAAGTCCCTATTAAGTTCACCCTGCAACGCGTTTAGTTAACAAGTGTGAGCTGGGAAGAATGAAGCATCTGTATTCACTCTTATTGTTGCAAGAAAACCTAATGCGATTTATTTTTCTTTCGGAAATTTAAAGTAGCTAGTTTGTGGCGGCTGGGTGTGGTGTGAGTTTTGGAAGAGTGTAAACGTTGGCCAGACAAAAAAAATGTCAGTCTACATATAGCCTTAAATCGCTCATCGCCCACAGCGCTGTGATTGTTTTGTAGCGCACTTGAAGTAAATTACCCCCCACGGCTGCAAGAGGACATGACTATATCAGCCTGGGTTTTCTAACAAAGTAAGAAGCTGCATTACAATTAATGCAATCATAATTGAATCCTTTCGGTGTAAACGACTGGCTGCTACTTGCATTCATGCTCGCTAAAGAAAGGAAGGACTCTCTAGCCATGAGAGCTTCCTGTTCTACACAATCTTTTCCTGACAGGTTTCCTCTTCCTCCTTAAACAAAAGACAGGAATGCCCCCCCCTCCCTCTCCGTGGGTGGCTCCTGGTAGATGGCTGTGTGTGAACGCCAAACAGATACACGTGTAGTCTGGATGTGGAGTTATTCCACGCAGTATCCAGCCAGCTCCCAGACACGTAGTGACGCATTTGCGGAGATAGACTTGGCTGATGTAAACAGAACAGAGGTTGCTCCCAGCAGGTGTCACACTCACACAATGGTCATAATGGTGCGTGCTGATCCACAACTGAGCTATGATTTATTTGATGTTTTTCCCCTTTGTCTGGTTACTGCGGAGAGCTATAGTGAAAAAAGCAGAAAGCATGCTTTGGGGAATTGACTTTAAAGGATTAATTAAAAAAATCTTTAAATTTCAGGAAGTTTCTGGAGATTTGTGTGTGTGTGTGATTATAATTTTTCAGGAGAAGTTCCTCTTTGGTGCTTAACACATTTTCGACTTATCTTAGGACGATTTCAGGCAGACAAAGAGTGTGTAATCGGCTGCCTGTAGCTCTCACTGGTAGTATGTGTGTGTTCCTAATTGGCTCTGTTCTCTCATCCTTTCAGCTTCTTCTGCGAGAGTGCTGTACCCCTATCTAAAACAAAACAAAACGAATAAAAATAAAGAGTACTCCAATCCTGATGGGCACACACCACTTGCCAATCATTGCTCCAATTGTGCAGCCTGATATGTCATTGTAAATATAACGTGCAACAGTCATAGTAGTTAACAAACCCTTTATCAGGCTGCAATGAGACATTCCCTCACTCTCCTACACTTTATCATCCACAAACTAGCTGCTGTGCTCTGCTCAGATAATGTGTCTTGCTGCCAGTGTTCAGACTATGACAGATCCACTGATGAAAATCGCTGGAAAGTCTAATTCTGGCAGACGGTTTAGAGGGTCAGCTTTTCCTTTTTTTCTTCTTCTTCTTCTTCTTCTTCTTTTTTTTAATCCACCCATTAATCTGAAGAGTCGTATATTACAAAATCCCTAGTTTGGTCTACAGTTGCCATAGCCCGTAGACCTGACGTTTCCTCAACGTTTAAAGGAACACCATCATTGAGGCTTACTAATCCATATTCATCACAGCGTTAAACACAAAACTATATATTCCAGTTTGCGAAAAGCCCGTAAAGCTCCGGTTTATTTGCCACAACCATGCACCGTAAATCGTTTTTTATCTATTTTTTGCATCCAGTTCTGTAAACACAACCAACACAGAGGCAACAGATGGTGCTAAATGGCACATACAAATGTTAACATTTTTTTCCACTGCAGTGAGTATCAGACACTATCAAACATCTCTTCTGATCATTGGATAAGTTTTATGTAACATATCATTTTTCACTGCAGTAATAAGAAAAGCACCAATACAACAGACACCCCGATTGTTATTACTGAAGTTCTAGAGAAGGTTGGGACATTAGGTCCCTTATTAGCTCTCAAACTGTAGCTGATGAGAGAGTCTTCTCACCTTTTTTCTCTTTTTTTCATTGTTGTATTTAACCTCCTAGAACCTGGCGTCCACATATGTGGACATCACATTTTGGGTTGTCTAGACCAAAAATCCTACATTCTGATATCCACTCACGAGGACATTTTACTGCCTCTGTTTTATCAAAATTCAAAACGAATGTCTTCATATGTGGCTCTCAATTTTCTTAGAAACAAAAATCAGGTATACAAAAAAAATCTGGTGATTCTTTATCAGGTCCCAATCGTCCAAATAGCAAAGAGAAATTAAAAATGCATGCCATGAAAGAGTTCAGGTCTTAGGAGGTTAATGCATGTGCATACATGCATTTTATATATTAGTTAGTTATGCCATTGCACCAACAGAAATGTGTCCTACAAAAAGAAAGTGCACTGAAATGAGGGCAAGTGAAAACTTTCCACTCGCATGAAATGCCTTAGAAGTGAATAGAAGTGAAGTTATGTGAGATCTTGAGGATTTCACTTTCATAAAAGCAACATTTTTGAGAATGCAACGGCTGCATGTTGGAAATATTGATCAATGAATATCAAGTAGCATTTTTTCCCCCCGAGGCAGATATCTGGCATGTTGGAATGAAATAATTCAGTCCTTGGGGATTAGACACGTCTCAGTCTAAGCTGTGCCATCACATCCTATCAGATCCAGATGCGCATCAGATCTAGGCCCGATCCTCAGAGGCATATGGCTGTAATGATTTCACTTTAAACTTTAGTTTTATTGTTTTGTTTTTCTTTCATTGTATTTGTTTGTTTTATTCTTGTCCACAAAGATAAATGGAAAAACTAATATAAAACTCATTCCATTCCTGTTAACATGTATACACATTCTGAGCACAGATCTGACTTGGTGACGTTGTCTTTCTCTGCTCCCTGTCAGACACAAACCGGTGACATCTTCATGTTAAAATGTGACCAGCAAACTCCATAATCCAGTCTTTACTTCCAAGACATTACATGAGGAGCATGTTGAAGCCGCATAGCGTTTCAGAGTTTGTTTTCTTTAATAAACTTACATTGCTCCAGCTGAGTCAAAGTAGAGGGGGGTCACTGGAGCCGTGACCCAAATGCTTCTGTTGAGTCTTCTGCTGTGGGGAGAAGCCCAGCACCAGACAGGGTAGCCACACCAGGGCCTGACAGGGGGAATTTCAGGGTGCAGTGAAATTACAAAGATGGCGATAAGAAAAAAATAATTACAGCCCAGGAATAAGGATTATTAGATTAGGATGCTGTTAACTGTTAGTTAGAAGACCTTTTTATTTATTTTTTGTCGTTTTATATGGGAGCCACTAGGTGACCGCTGCTGGCCGTGTGTTTTGATTAATATTATTGTCATTATTGATGTTACTACACCAGAAGGCCCTGTGGCATCCTATCTGCATCTCCCCTACTCCACTGTGGGCATGATTGAAGTCCTCGTAACATCAACAGGAAGCTACAGCCACTACTCCTGTAAACACAAACCGCCGAGGATGCCAGACAGCGATATGACCCATAACTGCACATAATTACTGTAAACAAAAAATACACTAGAGATTCGAAATTTGACATCACAAGTTTCTGGATAGTGTCAACTAAGAAATTTGAGTTGTATTTGTTCATGTCAAGCATTCGCTTTGATGCATGTGAAGCCAGAAGAGAAAGATATTTAGTATAGTGCAAAATTGGGATGCTAGAAAGAATAAACCCTACTATAACACCTCTACAGCTCACAAGCATTAAAGAATTTTGAAAGAAATACCAAGGATTTGTTATTGTCACCTCCAGGAGGCGCTATCAGTGGTGAGTGAAGACCAGTCCTTATTTGAGCCTCCCTACGCTGCTGCTGCCCCTCTACCCAAAACAGATATGACTGCATCTGGCACACAGGACTACGGCCAGACCCACAAAATCAACCCCTTACCCCCACAACAGGAGTGGATCAACCAGCCAGTGAGGGTCAACGTCAAAAGAGAATATGAGCACATGAACGGATCCAGGTAATGACATGACAGCCACACCCTGTGGCATGCATTGTTTAGTAGAGATGAGTTTTTATGCACTTTTATCAGACATGCAAGCGGGTGATGAATTAAAAAGCAAAATCGACACAATGAGTGTCAGTTAGGCGTGGCTTTGGCTTTCATTCTCCAAGTCTCTCAAGCTCTCCTGGTAAGATGCAGTACCATTCACTGTTAGGTGTTTTTTAACTGTGTTGAGATGTGGTGAGTGCATTTCCTCAAACCATCCAGTAACTCCTTGCTCCAGATGGCCAGGGCTATTGTCATCGTAGAAGAGACCCCTCCCTTCATAATAGAAATGTTTCGGCGTAGGATAAACATGATCTCTCAGATAAACGCTGTATTTATTTTCAGTGCCCCTTCCCTCTAATGGTACATGTGGACCCAAACCATGGCACATTATGCTGCTATGTGGATCAAACAGATCCACACTCATTGCAGATTTTCAGGTTTTGCTTCTAATTTGTCACCCATTTGTATGACACTTCTGCTGCTGTTGTCATTTGTCATTCAGCGGGCCGTTTCTTTACCACAGCTAACCTTCACGTTTCACATCTAATCTTTGATATGCTTGGCTCAGAATATCTCGTGCCAAAGTCAATGGCTGGAAAGGAAATTCAACAACACCCAGTTTATCTGCTGATAATATTTTTACAACTTACTTGGTGTGCATGTGTGTGTGTGTGCATGCATGTTTGTGCAGCAGGGAGTCTCCAGTGGACTGCAGTGTGGGTAAATGTAATAAGCTGGTGGGGGGTAATGATACATCTCAGATGAACTATGGAAACTACATGGATGAGAAGAACGCCCCTCCCCCCAACATGACCACCAATGAACGGAGAGTCATTGTACCTGCAGGTAAGAACAGATGTGTATAGTTAGGAAAAATTAATCAGGACATGAGAACAAAATTGATTACTATTGTTAGATGGCAGTCACTTGCCTGTTCTGCTATGATGTCACTAATGCTGAGGCACAATCTAATGAACCTCAGTAGATATTTATTTTTTTTACTATACCCTTTGTTTGAACACTTAGTTTAAGAAATTTGTCTTTCACTCAAAGTCCAAACAAAAGGCGTTTCAGTACATTTCAGGATGGCAAACAGTGTGCCAAAAAACAAGAAATCCAGATTATTTAATTAAAACTGAATGCAGACTTGGTAAATTATTCATTTTTTAGTGTTTAGCTGATGCCAAAGGCCACTCATCTATTAACCTAATAGGAGCTCACTTGGATGCCACTCTTTAACCACAAAGTGGCAAGTTTGGGGTTTGGTTTCCAAATTGGCTGTGCTGTGTATCAGGCATGGGTCAAGTAACATTTGCAAATACTGAGTTTTCTTTGGTATCACAAAGTTCGGTCAATTTAATGATGAGATTCAAAAACGAATACTATTCTATGATAGGTGACTGAACTAGGAATCTGCTCTGTTTTCATTTTACTTAAAAAAGTAAAAGCAATATTTAGTATTCTGTCTAAACCACACAAACTGAAGTCTGTTCACCTCAGCATTATTATATGAAGCTAAATCACAGCAACAGTTGCCTGAAGGCACTTTATATTGTGAGGTAAAGAGCCTGCAATAATACAAAGAAAATAGAAACTGCCTTCAGTTTGTTTATTACTCCTCCTCCCTTTAACTTAGAGATATGTCTTTCCTGAAGTCTGCCCGCAACAGTCAGTAAAACCAGTCTCCTTCCCTTCTGTTGTCCTGCAGACCCATCACTTTGGTCCCAGGACCATGTGCGCCAGTGGCTAGAGTGGGCCATCAAGGAGTATGGCTTGTTAGAGATTGATACGGCAATGTTTCAAAACACGGACGGCAAAGAGCTCTGCAAGATGAGCAAGGATGACTTTCTACGGCTCACCACCATGTACAACGCAGAAGTGCTTCTCTCTCATCTCAATTATCTCAGGGAAAGTAAGTAAACTTTGGTAATTACTTGACGGGTCTCTGGAACAAAGGAGTGCAACAAAAAGTGTTTAACAGTTGAAAACAGAAGATAAAAAATAAATCGGAAAGTATTAAACACAGTGAAAAGTCAGCAATGCCATGCTGCACGTCGTTTTCATTACTTTCCTTGTTTGTGCCTAAACCTGCATCACCATCCACGTTTGCCAAAGGGTGAAAGTCATTTAGTTTTTTTTCTTCTTCTTTTTGATTCAAAGTGTGAATGAAAATGACCTCGTTTGCTCAGCATGAAAGAAAAAAAGGAATGTCACCTTTTTTCATTCGCACTATGCTTGCATTACTAAATAAACAATCAAATTACTAATTTCTCTACGATAGCTAACACGTCTAAAGCACAGCATAGAAACCCAAAGGGTTTCTTTTCCCCTCTCCAGATAACCATCATCAACCTCCCCCACTACACTTTTATACCGCATGGCCCACAGAAAGATGAAGCCCAGGTGCATTGCCTCAGGAATCACGCTAGGCTTGTATGTCCAGAGCAAAGAAAAGAAAGTTGATCTGCAATTTGCAATGGTGGCAGCTAAATTTGAGCCCCTTACCTTTGAAGAATATCTCGCCGTAATCCCCGCTTCATATGTTTCTGTGAGGAAGCGAAGCCAATTTTCTGATGCGGTATGCAAATGACATTTTAATATAAAATGTAACATCTGGTGAGGCTCTGGTTTGAATACATGCAGCGTGGTGTCGAGTTCGAATGCTAAATATCAGCCGTGTGCTATAAAAATTAGCAAACGAGTGGCGCGATTGATGCACGTGTAGGGAACGGTCTGTCCCCATCTTTAAAAAGTTTGGATACTGTAGAATAGTTAGAGCTGCTTGCGCCGTGGCTGCAGAATATCACGGCAGCACACTGGGTGGAGTGACTGATGGCTTGACTAAATTTAACATTACTCTCAAAAAATTGCGATGGGCCTCAATGTGATGTAATGGGAACTGTATTTTGTGGGTGTCAACAGTTTTCTCTATGCACTGCGTCTGGGCAGAGAGAGATGCTTGTCATGAGTATAACAGCCTCATTGTGCAGCGGTGCAGCGGGTGGATCTGTCTGACCGCCACTGGGCACACTTCGCAGAGCAGTTTTCATTATGGCCAATGGCTGTGGGACTTAGCCACGGCTTAGGCGTGCTGCATCACGATTTTGCCCCATTTTTCTTTCTTTCTTTCTTTCTTTTGTGTGCTTTGGAGACAGAAAAGATGTCTTGGGAATCCTCTCCACTTGCCAGCTGAAATTGCTTTGTATTAATTCCTAACAATCAGCGAAATGGACGCTCCCTTTCCTGAGCTGAGTAACCCGTTTTAGGGCAGCTCGCGGACGATGCAAGCGGGGTGAAGTGCTGATACTGTACCTGCATTACACATACAAAATTTTCTGTCTATTACAAATGTGATACAAATATCCAAAGCCGATCAGGCACTGAACACACTTTAGCCTACCAGCTTTCTGTTGCAAAGCGCCTACCATGTCCTATTGCACAGTTTTTCATCTTATGTGGGACTTGCACAGATTTTACAGCTAGTGCTGCCTAAATCAAAAAGAGTATTTCCAGTTGTGAGACCATCTCCTGCCACGTGCCACGTATGAAAACATCAGATGGCATCCTGATTCTCTTGATACTGTCCGGAGCTCAAGTGTGAAAACAGTTTGTGAGCAAAGGAAAGGGGTCAAGGCTTTATGACGACCCTCACGGGGTGATAATTTAGAAATGAAAGGCTTTCTCTCGTCTCCCCCCACAGCACAAACAAACACAATCAGAGACTAGGAGTAACCCTGTCCAGAAAATAGACCTCTGTTTTCACTCACAAGAGCTGGAGCTGGGACTAGTTTCCAGGAGGCAGAGAAACAAAGAGAAAAGGGGAAAGGCTCAAGCAAGCCCTGGAAGTATTAGTGATTACAGGTCATGTGATCTGATTCACTGAATCTTTTCATTATCACCCCCCATCCTACACCCAAAAAAAAATAAAAAATAAAAAATAGATGGTCCAGAGGGATACTGCAATCATTTCGTACACATCTGTGTGCACCATATGTGTGATTGGTTCTGTTTATTGAACCTCTGATTAACATTCCTCAGAGTCATTAGACCCTGTATGTACACTTGGTGAAGGGCGGGAGACGCACTTCCACACCCTACAGCCATACCATAACAAAACATTCCTGCCACGTCACACACACAGAAATACCGCTCAGACATCCATACTGGCACAACCGCTGGCACAACCTGAACATCTGTCTGGCTTCCCAGCTGCTTACAGTAACAAGGGTAGTTGCCCGTGCATTATTTTGGCCTCGTTGTTGGTCACTTATCCAGATTTTCATAAGTGATGGCCGCCCACACCCCAATGTGCTTTCAATTTGGGGCGCAATTTGAGAATTTGTTCAAATTAGTCTGTCAGGGAGGGGACTGCTGACTGTTTGCTTTATCGCACCCATGTAGGTCGGTTTGATACCACATGTGCTGGAAACGGAGCAGAGCAGCAAACCTCAGACAAGGAGGAACTGTATCTTCTGACACATAGAGATGCGAGGCGGAGAGAGAAGGGAGGAAGAGGGGGGAGAATTCAAAAACGAGCAGAGGGACTGGGGAGACAGAACAATCCAAAGAAGCATGTGAAGGAACATAATAGTAGGAGTTAAGAAATATGTCACTGACAGATTGGGTTGTTGCTTCAGGACAAAAACAGGAGTGTGTGTAAGCAAGAAAGGCAGTTATAGAAAGGGAGTGCGAAATTTAAAAAAAGAAGAAAGAAAAAAATTTGGTGGCTGAACTATTCCTTTTTGTTTTTTTGCGAAGAGTGTGGAAATGGTCCGAGATGGTCATGATTGAGTGCCATTGGAGAATAGCAACAGTTCTGTTTCCCAGCTGTCGCCGTTGCTTGTGTGTCTGGATGGATTTACAGCGAGGGAGTCCAGAAGGAGAGAGAGAGAGCGAAAGAGAGGAGAGAGAGAGAGTGATAAGTCTGGGCTTCTGCACTGCTGCTGCTCGCTCGAGAGTGGGGGACATTCTCGAGCCCTCAATAGTTTATACAGACCATAAACATCTGGGCTCGCAGGCTGAGTAGGGAAAAAGGAGCTCTGGAGAACTCTCTCTCTCTCACACACACACACACTCTCTCTCTCTCTGTCTTTCACTCCTCTTTCTCCCCTCACAACATTTTTATTGAGCTCCCCTTGCATTAGTTCTTTCTATTGGCAGATTATCACTGGTGCAGAGGGGCTCAGCAGGCTGGCTCTGCGCCTTTTGCCGTTTGCTGTCTGCTGTTAGCCACCATTACAGTGCAGTCTGCGGCTGCTCACTCAACTGCTGGGGTTCGGCCACTTATGAGCTTCGCAGGAATTTATGTCTATATCACATTAGCATAAGTGGAAGTGGATAATAAGCAGTTGCTATTCGTGTAAACACTGAGATGAGCCTAGCTGTAATTGAAGCGAGATGTAGATAATAATTGTAAGTTTCCAGTTAAGAATACTGATGTCAGCCAGTTCTGCATATCTCGTTTTATAGTCCTGTTTTTAACATTAATGCTAATTGTTTTAAGTGATTTATATTTTTCCCATCATATCTTGGACTGGTAACTGCATGATTGCAGTTAGGAACAGCATATAAACTGTGGTCAGGATATTGTTAAAGCTAAGAATAGTGATTAAACATTTCTGAACATTTCACCTCTCACTTGTCCAATCAGATAGGAGAGCACTGGGTCCAGATCTCTCTATCATTTCTAAATGGATAATTTGATGTTTGCGCCCATTTCACGCAACAAACTATCAGATATGTGAAGGTGTGTGGAGGGAGACAGGGTTGGATTGATATGTTATAGCTATTTTTGGCCCTTTTTTATGACTATAAATACCTTCAAGCGGAGTCTGTCTAAAAGTGTTGACCATTAACCAATAAACACGTTCACGTTAATACATAATGGAACATTTATAACCATTCTCTTGATCATTGGCAGGATGGGATGTAATCTTGGTGTCAACTTCACATAGTTTGACAGAACTGGCTCCACATGAGCACTGGGACCAGAACTGGAACTATGTTGATGGAAAAGAGGCACTTGTCAGTCCATCAATTCATAACAGCCTCCACATAAAAAAAAACCTTTGTCTGTACAACAATACTTGTGCATTTGATACTACCTGTTTTACCAGGGGTTTAATAAAGAACCTGTATAACTCTTCAGTTGGCAGACTGGTTTGGTAGCTTGAGGCGGTCTCGAAGTGTGGGCAGGAACTTCAATCTGTGCCCAACACAAATGTAATTTAATGAGAAGAGTGTTTTCTTTTTCTTTCAGTTACTTGCGAACAGTGCCATCTTGAAAGGAGGGTCATAAGTTAAAAAAAACAATTCCAATACTTTGTAGCGGAAGACTCAGAAATGCCTCATATGAAATATGAAGCCAAGCAGCAGCGTTATCCAGTACAACTAAATGGGTTTGCCTAAACTTATGTGCCCCCCTTTATGTGGCAAGGTGCCTAAAACAGGGTGACTGGGGACCCTGAGTTTGTTGACAAAGCTTAGACCACATGTTGAGGCAATGGTATCGTATAGCTATACAGAATAAACAGTACAGGGGACTTGCCAGAGGTCCTACACGGCGCTGTACAAGGCTTTAGAAATATCGATCAATGTTACGTGCACGTCAGGCGGCACTTTCGTGAAACCAAACAGTCATACGAAGGAGAGAAAAGAAAACTGTTTGCGGGTGTTATGTAATCTTACAGAGTCCGAAGCAGATGTGATTGGAAAGGGAGAGCAAGAGAACGAGGGTCTCAAAGCTTGAACACTGGCCAGTCCTCCCACTGCGCTGTCAGATTACCGGGATGTGTTTGTTTTCGAAGAGAGGAAGAGGCCATCCAAATAAATAGGCAGCCCAGCCAAGGCTCCCTTCACCAAAACTGTCAGCTGTGGTGTTTCTCTAGCTCGCTCTCACTCGCTCACTCAACCCTCCACTCGCTCTCACTCTCTCCCATACAGCAGTCCCAAATTTCTCTGTGGGATGGTTTGAGGTTTTCTTAGCAATGCTGCCTGTTTGCCTGTCTGGGTCAGACCACATATGTGGCACACAGTAGGAAAGGGGTTAACAACCCCTTCCTCCTTCCTCCATCCCCTCTCTGTTCCTCGTTCTCTTACACCCTCTCCCTCATTCCAGAAGTCGGTGCTTCGGAGGCTCGTTTGCCCCTGTGAGCTTACGCTCTGCGTGTGGAATTATTTTTGTATGGGGGAGCTGCGTTTGATTGCCATGCAGGGACCCTTCCTCATACAATGGCTCCCCTGTTCTGAGTCCCCCATCCTTCTAAACTAGACCCAGAGCCTTGGGGGTGCCGTGGAGTATAGGTGGAACTGGGAGGGGTGGGGACATTTGGAGGGTTAGAATACATTTGTGGAGCACCCCACATTACCCCACAGCCACCACTCTCCCCCCTTAAAAAAACAGACCCCTAGTCTGCCACTATGAGGCCCCAACCCACCACCAGCAGCACAGCACGTTAGTCGAGGACCTTGCATCGAAACTTTCACAGTCTTTCTGGATTTTTCTTTTTCCATTTGTACTTTAGCTCATTTCTCAGATTTCTCTGCACCACCCCACCAGAAAAGGTACGGTCCCTACTCAGCAACTTGCTGTTGCTGGCTCAGTGCTATATCTTGTCTACACTCTCCATGTAGTAACTGCTCTCATGTTTTCTCTGTGCATTTTTGGGTCTGTTTTTCCACTCACTGATTTATGCCTGGGGGCAGCTAAAATTAAGAGAGCATTTTGGTGCCGCCCAGGGTGCCTGTGTAAGTGGAGGAATGCAGTGCAGAGTTCTGCTCCATAAGGTGAAATGAACAGGCAGCCATACAAGGACTCTTAACTCACTGTCTTGCTTTATTCAGGGGCAGTGGTTCCAGTTAAAATGTTGACATACTACAGGGCTTCCTCACCACTATTCAAAGGACAGACTGTGTGCTGGGTTTGCTTTATTCGAGAATAGAGTTCTTTGTCATTAATTAGCTTTCCTCTTAAAAAAAACAATAATTTAAGAGCAAAAGGTACAGAAGTGATCCAATGAAAATGGCTTCAGTGACATGCCATAGGTATCGAGCTGAACCTTCTACTGCCACCTGCTGGGAGTATTAGAAATTTGAGCTTTTTGTCACTCATACAAAAAACCTCTCATAGCAAATGCAGCAAATTTCAGTTCAAATGAAATATATTCTGCATGTATTCCTCAAGATACTTTATTCTAAAGTAAACACTTTATAAAGCAATGAAGACTCTTTAATTGTTTAAAAAATCCAACAAAATTAATCTCACCATGCTCTCTTCTGTCTCATTGCAGGTAGCTCATCATTATCCTACAATACAACATCTCACACAGATCCATCACCACGGCTGGCTGCCAAAGAGGGTAGGGAAGTTTAGAAATTTTCTCTGCATTTCTCTCCACATATTTAGAATTGTTTTAAATGCTGTATACAGACTGAACAAGGTGGGAATGGTGCAACCAAAGCTAAAGGTGATCGTGTATGGCAAAAATATAAAATACCCAAACCTTCAGACTTCGCATGAAGAAAAGCACACACATGTGAGAACAAACGCCACTTAACAAAAAGGAAGCACAATGCAGCCACCGATTGTTTCTGATGAAGCTCTGGGCAAGTACACCTTCTGTTTTGAGTCAGGCTGCTATTGCTATTCGGGACTACTACCTGAACCCAAAGAATAAAGGCATGTTAACAATAAAACAAAAGCAGAGTGCTGATGAGTTCTTTCCATAGCAGCGGGAGCATGAACAGACTGTAAATGTAGTAATTATGGAAAGAATCTATGTGACTGAAGCTGTTTACTGGAAGGACGGGCAGCACAGACAGGTGCCCGAGCAACAATGTGCTTGGTAAACATGACAGAAAGGGGCTGATTGGCTGCTTTAGACTAGACTAGAGGGGAAATAGGGGTTACATGTGTGAGTCTCTGATGAGTGAAATAGTGGCAGAAATCATGATAAGAGGTTAAGGGGACACTACACATAAAATATGCTATTGTAAGACAGTGTCCAGCAGCACTGAGACCCTTTGACTAATATATGTAGATATATATAAATATATATATAGCTTTTAATGAAAATCAAATGATAGTAGCCATTTTCAGCTATTTTATGTAAAACGTAGGCTTTAACATAAACTGTTAGCTGGTTTTATTAAGAGATTTAATGGTTAAGGAACCAATGTCTGATTAAAAACAATAGTGAAAATGGCTTTTTAAAGAAAAATGTTACCATACAAGCAGCTTGGTGTTCTCCACATCTTAATCTGGCCAAAATTTAAAGGACACAATGAACTAATTGAATTAGCGATACATTTTTAATAAAGCAGAAGAGGAGCGGTCAGAGGGACCAGCTCTAGTGTGCTAAGCCGAGAACAATGCCCCAAGCAGCTCAGGATGACGGTCCTTTTCCTCCCGATACCTTTTTCACCCTACAAACACTGGTGTGCTGACACGGTTCAGACAGGCGATAGCTTCGTATCTGTTTAGAAAAAAAAGAAAAAACTACACATCCTTCACATAGGCTATATGGTGTCACCACCAGAGTCGAGAGCAAAGACTGCAATAACAATGATAGCCTTGCTAACAGGATGAGAGGCCCTATCAAGGCAGCAGCAGAGGAAATGCTAGGTCTGATAAGTGTCAGAGAATGCTCTCTGCCTCTCGCTCTATCTGCCCCATTGGTGAGAATTCCAGGCCACGTAGTGGTTCTCGCCCAGCTTCATACTAATAGGCCATTGGGCAGGCCAGATAAGATTCTGCTCGGTCACCCCCCGACCTTGGTCTTCCTGATTCTCAGCTCCAGGTATTTGGACTGGCAGGAATAGAGGGTCACTCCCATCAGCAGCATTTCCCTTTCTCAAGAGGTGATTTCTATTAAGTGCTCCTGTAACACTGCCTTCCTCTAACTGTGGCCTAAAACTCTGGCCTTAAGTAGAACACTTGTAGCATTTAAAACATGCTAACTTTTCCAAATAAAGGAAATACGACAGTATTTTTGCTCGCACAAGTGTTACTTTCGTGCAGAGTTTCTGCTTCGGCAATAAAAGATGCGTTCCTTCAGGAGAAGCCTTTATCAGCGTTTGCTCAGATCAGCACTGCCAGATGTTCCACTTCATATTGCCTTTTGAGAGCAGTCAAATACCATACAGGCTCTTTGGGGTAGAGTAAGCACGAGCATACAGCAGGAGACAACCCTTAATCTGCCCCAGACTCTGCGGTGTAAAATGCAATGTTATGAATAAAAGAGAGCATATAAAACACGGAATGCAGCAGCTATGAAAGGACTCGTGCGCGCCGATGTGTGTGTGTGGCTTTCTCAAAGTCTGCGTCTGCTATGTGCCTGCTGATCGGCTTGTAAGTATGGGTTTCCTGCATACCTTACTAGTGTGATATATATATATACATATATATATATGTATATATATATATACAAATATTACACTATGCCTATGCCTTTGCATATCTTTTGGACATGGACTGCATTATTCATGAGTGTAAGAGTTATAGGGCGTTGCTGGGAATTAGACATCATGTCGTTGTTACAAGTAAACACCTACACTTCTACTTGTAAACTACTTTTTTTCCCCCAGATTGATTTTTTTGTTTTTGTTTTTTTTTTCTCTTTTGTGGTTTCTGATCTATTAGCACAGCAATAAAATGTCGAAATGTTCTAAAAGCATCCATACCCTCCCCTGCCATGTTGAGGAAAGATGATTCACCTTTTGAAAAGCATTTCCTCTGGTGCCAAGTCAAAGGCAAAAACAGCTTGAAATGCTTCATTACGTACACAAACCATCTCAGATTTGTGTTTTTTCAAATGCTCACCTTGCTCTGTGCTAAATATAATGTAAGATAAACTGCGGACTTGGAAGTGAAAACGTTTAATGTTAAGAGTGTTGCGAAGATGTTCCCCCCTTTTTTTTTTCTTTGATGGTTTTCTGTTCCAGTGCACCCACTGTCTCCTCGCTGTGTCTAACTCCTGTACTTTGCCATCATTCTCCTCCTCTTATGGCTCCTTGCTCACACAGATGGCTTTTAAAGCACCTGTATTATGGGTATTAAAAAAGTTTACCCTGTCTGGGTTTCTCTCCTTGGCTCGGACCCTGGGTTAAAAACAGTCCACAGCTCCACTCTCTCTTTTTCTCCACTCATTCTCTATCCCGCTCCCGTTGCTCAGTTGCTCTTTCTCTCCTAGCCTACTTGCTGTCTTTCTTCTTCCCTCTGTGTCTCTCTCTCTTTCTCTCTCTCTCTGTCTAGCACTTGGGCCTTGTTTTGACTAACTGGTCCTGCAGTTGAAGTCTCCCAGGAGCGTGCACCACACCCGAGACCAGAGTGGAAACTGGCTCAAGTCGCAGTCAGAGCGAGGCCTGGAAAAATGAAGGCGGGAGAAGGGGGTGGGTGGTGAGGAGTGAGGCGGTTCTGTGTGTGCACAGTCAAGTCTACGTTTGTGTGGTTGCCCCCCCAAACCGCCGTGCATTGTGATTCTTCCTCCTGCATGTTCACTTTCACTCAATCAATGAAGCTAAAACTTAATGCACAGTAGTGGTGAAAATTGTATTTGCTGAGATTTTTCTTTGGCCAGAGAAAATTGTTTTGGTGGCAGATGCTACCAACCAGCCAAGGTGTCTTAAGGCAGAAAACACACCCAAATAACACAGCTTCCCCTCTTCTTCTTCCACAGCTAACAGTAGCTGAGTTTGCAGCCATTGTTTTCTTTCCAGATTCCAAAGTTGTGTTTTGTCTGACTCTTTTTTTCATCATTTTTCTGTCCTGATTTTCTTCTTCACTTCTTTCTCTTCTGTACCTTTTTTGTGCTTTTATACCCTGACCATAATTTGTCTGCTTCTCAGTACGTCTTTCTGCGATTTACTCACTTCCACTCTCATCTCTCTCGTTCATCTGTGCCTCTCCCCCACCATCTCCTAAACCCCTTCTGCACGTAGATGGAGGTAACCCCGTCGTGTTTTTTCGGGGTGGTGGTGGTGGTGGAGGGACTGGCGGTGAGTAGAGGGGAAAAAAGGGCCAGTAAAACAAAGAGAGGTTGTCTGCAGGCGAAGCAGGCAGGAAACGCAAGTCTCTCAGGACTCTCCCCCAGTCACTGCTCCTTGGCTATCCTGCCAGCCCACACCAGATTGAACCTGACAGCCCCGTTGAGCCACAGCAGCCCGCTTGTTATTTATCCCTCCTCTCCTTCTTTTTGTCTTTCTCTCCTCATATACTGTCTTTTCTTTTATTCATTTGATCGTGTTCCAAATTCTTTTCTCGTTGCGAGCTCATATATGTTTCGCTTCATGCATCTGCCGTTGTTAACTCTGCAGGGGACACAGAGAAAGGGACAACCTCTGTTGTTTGCAGATTGTAACGAGTCCTTTGCTGAAGCGTTTAAGGTTAAAAGTTGATATGATAGAACTTAGCGAAGAGAACAAGAGGTTCAACATGAATATAAAATGTGTTTAAAAAGAAAAATAACTAGAACCAGCCAAACTTGGGAAACGTTGTTTTTTTCATTCTAATGAGATTAAGTTGTGCTCAGATGAAATAATCATTTGATGTGGAATGTGTCATCATTATTTATTATAAGGAAAACACCGATGCTAACATCTTCTTGTCCACTGGAGGGCAGTGCCGCACAGTGTGTAGAAATGTCTGTCCGTGTAGTGAAGCTGATGATGCACAATTTGATGTCACTGGATGTTTTCTTTCTTGGTTTCGTTTGGTTTTTTCCCACTTGGACTATATGAGGTAATATGGGTCAAGATGCTATACCCAAAACACATTTTTAAAAAAGCCAGGCACACTTACAATAATTGATAATGTGTGATTTTTTTCCCCATAACTGAAATCTACAGACTTAGAAAAACACAGGAAATTACACTAAAATGAATTTAATAGTTTTATGTTTTTAATGACTGATATCTTGCAAGGATCTGATGAAATGGAAATGGAAGTAAATTTCCCATTACTTGTCAGACAAATCTAAGTCAAAGTTAACAAAGTCACAGTTTAATGTCATCAGCTCTATACAAGCATGAAGAGAGATGAAATTGTGTTCAGTTGTTTTCACTTTAATCAGCATAGGAATCGTCTCAGATCTTTACAAAAACCAGCACACGATAACCTTTCAAACATATCTGGTCTTAAAAAGTATCAATTCAGCATCTGATTTATCAAACAAGACAACTAAAGACTCGTCCCTCACTGATGGGAAATAGAATTGCCTCTTGACCTTCTAGCAGCTTGCTACTTCAAATCCCTTGTCATCGCCATTGCACCATCTCTATCTGCTGCCCTCTGGGAGCAACGCTGCCGACAAAAAAAAGAAAAAAAGAGAAAGTTGGCCGATCACGATAACACCGTTGAGCGCTACTCAGCATAAAGCACGTCTGGCCTCATCATATTTTCCCCTCGTGTTCTGACAATTGTTTGAACTGTTTTACTCCATAATAATACAAACCATCAAGGGTGCTGGCCAGGTGCACTCTGAGTATACAAGGGTGTTCACTGCCAGAGGAACGACACAGCCTCTGTTTTATCTGTTTGTGTCAGAGTGATTGATTGTTACTGGAAGCTGTCCAGCTTCACACTCGGTTAGTTGGAACCACAGACACACACACACAGCAGGTAGAGCCCATGGAAACCGGGCCAGTTTGGCTGTTTGTCAAGGTTTCGTGAAAGCCGCATGTGTGGGAAGAGAGGATGATAGTGGAAATCATGCACATGTATTGTCTTTGTGTGTGTCTCTGTTGTACGTTAATTTGCATCAGTCCCTTTCATTTGTGGTCGGGGTGTTGCAAGCTCTTTAACCAACTGTATTCTCTGTAAAAGATTGTGCCATCTACATTTTAACCACCACAGCAAGCCAAACAAAACCACATTTCCATGTCCAGATATCCTGTGAAGAACATTTTAACGATGTTTTGATGGATTTATTAATGCCCTAACTGTTGGCCAGCTGTAATTGTTAGGATTGGCTTGTGCACCGTGGCATTTTATGAATTGTACTTAGCATGTTTAAAAAAACAGTGACTGTTTTCCTATTGAAACTTTGTCTGTCCTTTTGTCTTTGTTGTTGTTAGACCCTTCATATGATGCTGTACGGCGGACAGGCTGGTCCAACAACATGCACAGTGGCAAAGGTGAGGGCACACAAATCACCAATAATGTCTTTAGTTTTTTCACTGAACAGTAATGGTAAGTATGAGTGGAGCAACTTACTGAGCAGGGGCATGATTCGTGACAAACCCAATCATTTGTTATGGGGTGGAGGTTAAATAGTTTTCAGATACCCTTTAATGCAACTCTGCAGCATGCGAGCAGCCCTTCCAGAATCCACAGAGAGTCTAGACATGTGGGACAGCCTCCTAAAGATTACACTCGGCCAAAAGAAGCCACTCATACCACCAGCTACTGCCTTATTTACTTTGGACCACTGCTGGCATTCCTTTAAGATGTGTATATTGGTTATCTGCAGAGCACCCCTACTGATGTTTTCTGTGTCTCTCTTGTCCCCCACTTATTCCATTTCTCTCTGCAGGCTCGCCAGTGGTTACTCAAAATGTGACCAAGTCCACTGAGCAACCCAGAGCTCAGCCAGGTACTGGCTTACGTGGTGTCTTTCTTGACCTACTTAGTATAAGCACACACTCAAATCCGAGTCATACCAGCTTGTCTGTTGTGCCGCTTGTTCTGACAGATCTTTCTTTTAGTCTTTCTGTTAACAGTCGAGACAGTGAAGCATAATCACTTTGTGTTTATCATAGCATTATCTATTCTAAGATCCTGGTATTTTGTGTTTGTTTACTCGACTGATTCTGCTAAAGCTTCTCTTTAAATCCTCCAGCCTTAAGCAAAGTGTTTACTGACACTTACCAACAAGGGTAGTTGCTTCTTCTACTTGCTTTATTATTTGACAGACTTCAGCGTGTAATACTAATTTGTTTTGTCAGTGTTACTGTTAGTTGTGTTTACTTCATTTCAAATGTAATGACATGAAAAGAGCTATAAAAAGTGAAATTGTATCGATTCATCCAAATCCACCTATTTGAATGGTCGATTCATTTGTTATGGATATAGGATAGATACTTTAGAGTATCTACAGACTAAGTTCAGCGTGTCATGCACTATGACAATTATTTGAAGTTGAAAGGTGTAATTTATTGTATCAACTAATAATTGTGGAAAGTAAATATCACAACGGTTTATTTGTCATTGAAATGTGTTTAGAATTTGCAAATTAATGATGAATCATTTCATAAATCATGAAACACAATTTATGGTATGGGTAATGGTATCAGCAGTACTGGCCCTGTATTTACTTGGTTTTACTTGATACCAAGTAAATTTTGGAGATAACCCAAAGAATCTGCAGTATCGCACAGCACTAATTGCCATAATACTAGTTGTGATGACTCACAAAGCTCTCCTTTTGCCCACAGACCCTTACCAGGTTCTGGGTCCCACCAGTAGTCGTTTAGCCAACCCAGGTAAGTCTCTCACCATAACCAGGTTTTCAATTCAGCAGCTGTAAAAACACACTTTCTCCAAAACCTTTGAACAGCATTGTTAGTATCCAACTGAGCTTCCAGATGGATGAGAAAGCAACCATGCCTGAACGTTTGCTCTTGTGTTTTCCAATAGGCTCAGGTCAGATCCAGCTGTGGCAGTTCCTCCTGGAGCTCTTGTCTGACAGTGCCAATGCGGGCTGCATCACTTGGGAGGGCACCAATGGCGAGTTCAAGATGACAGATCCAGATGAGGTGGCGCGACGCTGGGGTGAGCGCAAGAGCAAGCCCAACATGAACTACGATAAGCTGAGCCGTGCACTGCGCTACTACTATGACAAAAACATCATGACCAAAGTGCACGGCAAACGCTATGCCTACAAGTTCGACTTCCATGGCATCGCTCAGGCGCTGCAACCGCACCCGACCGAGTCTTCTATGTACAAATACCCCTCGGACCTAGCCTATGTGCCTTCCTACCACACCCACCAGCAGAAGGTCAACTTTGTATCCCCGCACCCTCCATCCATGCCAGTCACCTCCTCCAATTTCTTTGGACCCACTGCTCAGTACTGGAGCTCGCCCACTGCAGGCCTCTACCCCAACCCAAATGTTCCTCGCCATCCTAACACGCATGTGCCATCCCACCTGGGTAGTTATTATTAAAACCACCCTTTCTGATCATCCACCACCCCTTGAACCTCCCCTGGCCCACGCCATTTGCTGACATGCACTCTCAATGACGCCAAACCAATGAAGACTGAACTGACAGAGGTATTTTGTCCTCTGAAGAAATTTGATCCAAAATGAAGGATGATCAAACTAAAGGAAATTTTTTTGTATGATTATATAAACAACTGGATATTAAGGTCCAAAAAATGGAATACTACTTACCTTTAAATGACTACCAAGTTTTTTTTTAATTTTTTATGATTTATGGACATTTATCTGAGTTTCATGTGCCTTTTCCTTCCTCCTGAAAGCTGCACCTACAGTAGCTGCAAGTGGGTGTTCAAGAAGCTTCCTAAACCAAAGCCTGAAGACAGAAGATAACCCGCAAGTCTGTCTGCCTCATCTTCCCTTTACAGTACCAGACATGGGCCTATTACTTATGGGTCTCAAAAAGCATCCTTCTCAGTATGTACCTTGTCCTGTAAAGCATCTGCCTTTTCATTCATCTAAAGCCTTGACAGGATTTCTTATTCCCACTACATCTAACCTTCTGTTTTGACTGTCTATGTTTTTTTGTTCTGTTAATCTACATGTTTTCATGTGTGTGTGTGTGTGTGTGTGTGTGTGCATGTGGAGAGTCTTCTGGAATTCTCTGGACAAGAAGGAGCTCTCATTGAGGTGGACTTTTCTCAGCACTGAATAAAATTTGGCAACTGGAATATGCCATTCACTATGCCATTTAACTTATCCTCCAAACTGGAAGGCTAGAGAAGAGTTGAATGCAGTTAAGAGGGAAGCGCTGTATGTTTTTGCTGATTTGGGTCAATTCAGTTGCTTAAAATGTTTTCTTGTGAGTTGTTTGCGGCGTTTGAGCTAGGCTAAGTGTTGACTCGATTGTGCCAGGAAAGCTGAGTCAAGATATAATTGCAGTAATTTGTTACAATAATTCAACGTAGGTCAGATGTTTTCACTCGGGGCCACACATTAGGCTATTAAATGTTTGCAGAGTCTTCGCATTTTTCAACCGTGCCATTTCCAGATGTGTTGTCGCTCGACCGTGTCAGTATTAATGTGAATGTCTTCTGGTTTGTGAATTTTTTTAAAAAAGGGATACCCTTTGGCAAAAATCTAAATTTGTCAGAAGTATTCATTTTTATTTTTAAACGTTTGATGAAAAAAAAGTAATTCCTTCACACTTGAGATCATGGATATAGAACACGAACGTGCCTTTTTGCAGATGTGGTCATGTTGACGTGTAGATGTTATCAACTGCCATTTGGTGGCTATTTATTTTCTATCCAAAATTGTCTTAAATGTTCTTCTATTTTGAATATGTGCTGTCCTGAAAATCCTGCCATGCTTTAACTGCTGATTTTGTATTTTTTTTTTTACCATATTTTGTCTATTCATTAAAGATGAGACAGCACTTCATCTTAAAGTGCACGCAATGAATTATCACACCACAAATCTGACAATTTTGGACTTTGAAATGGACTCTGACAGTAAAAGCTGCCGTGGTGTCTCTTTACTCTTTCTAGGCCAGTCACGACCATATAGGTCAGCACAGTAGATGTGGCTATGCATCAAGTCATGTTAATAGACAGTTAAGTTGCATTTTTTTTTTTTTTCACCAGGGCTGGATCCTAATTTGAGAGTAACATGTGTGTCTGAATGTTAGTTTCTCACTGATCGTAAAGCCCAGCTAAATGCACATGAATCTCAAGTCAGGATTTCATTACCACAATGTAAGAAGACATATCCATCTTCATGTGTTCAAAGCTGTTAATATCGGAAGTATTCCTTTAGCGTAACTGAGAATGGACACTTGAATATAAATTACCTGGGAACTTTATCAAAGAACAAATCCGATAAAGTATGACGAGACGAAGCAAAGAAATCCTCAGATTCGCAAGCGCTGTGCGTTTGTCAGACCTATTTTTTATTATTTTATAAGCATCAGTCAACTAGGCATTAAAGCAACTTACTGTATAAATTATGCAGAGTTATTTTCATATGTGACACAGTATTAAAAAAGTCAAGAAAATTAATACACGAGTTGACCTCGGTCAAAAATGCAAAACTTTTAAGTCCATTTCTGCTAGGTGGTTTGTTAAGCTTTTTAAGCGTTTTTATATCTGTACATTTGGGCAATACATTTTACCTTTTTGTTTTTTTTGGTTTCTCTTTATTGTTATTATTTCTCAAGTTAGTTATAAAATCCTAAGTGCCATTAGGTGTAAACTATATTTTTGTGTATTCCCAAAACCATGAATGCCGCTTGAATGATAACCCGATGGCCGGGGATTCCTTTACTATATATGCAACGTGTGATCATGATGCCTTGTTTCCATGGCCAATCACTTTTCTTGCCAAATGACAGAGTTTCAGGTATTTTATGCAAAATAATACTAACAGTATTATTATCCACGATTAATTTCTTTTGACGATTTATAACATTCAGTGAGCAAATTGAAAGGAGAATCTGATTTGTAGTATAAAGAAATTTTTCTAATGCACCCTGACTATTCATGTTTCACAAGCATTATCAATGAAAAGGGATCTCTGCTACTTCATATATGCAATGTATTTTGGATATCAAATATGTATATATATATATATATAT